TAAAATGTTTTTTATTCATTTTTTACGGAGAGGAAGGGAGAGGGATAGAGAGTTAGAAACATCGATGAGAGAGAAACATTGATTCAGCTGCCTTCTGCACACCCCCTACTGGGGATGTGCCTGCAACCAAGGTACATGCCCCTGACTGGAATTGAACCTGGGCCCCTTCAGTCCGCAGGCCGACGCTCTATCCACTGAGCCAAACCAGTCAGGGCATGTATGTACCTTTAATTCTTGTCACCTGTGCCCCAGCCAGGCTGGAGTAAATCCGAGACATGGTGAAGATGATTATGTGGAGACTATCTCCAGGAAAACTCCCAGGTTTTATTGTCCTTTTGTAACCGGACAACCAGAGGGTCCGGGCTGCCTGTCACCACCTGAGCCAATTCAGCAGAGACCGGGTGGAATCATGTAGGAGCGTTTATTCCAGTCCTGCCGGCAGGAGGGGAGAGCAGCAGGTCACCCACAGAAATCTGCTCTGCGCCCCACCATCAGCCACTGCTTATACTGGGTAGAGCAGTGGTTCTCAACCTTGGCTGCATGTTAGAGTCACCTGGGAATCTTTCTAAAATCCTAATTTCTGGGCCTCATCCTCCAGAAATTCTGTTTCTTTGTTACTAATGCTGTGGCCCCACCCCATAACAAAGAAACAGAATTTCCGGAGGGTGCGGCCCAGAAATCAGGATTTTAGAAAGATTCCCAGGTGACTCTAATGTGCAGCCAAGGCTGAGAACCACTGGGGTAGAGGGACAAGGCTGACGTGGGAAGTAGGAAGGACAGGCATGGGTGGCAGGCTGCAGTGGTTCCCGGGTACAGGCAGTGTGGGGCAGCGGCGGCGGGGGTGCCCAAGAGAACGGGTATCTTTGGCGCCTCCGGGACGAGACTGTTTAATCTTCCCATGACAGGCGGTTCTCAGAAAAGCAGGATGGGCTGCAGTCTGTTAGCGCCCGTGTGCCAGGGCGTGCAACTCTCACCAGGTCAGAATGTGCTTTCTCTGGTCAGAACAGAACAGTCATGGCTAACAGGGCATGGTTAATGTTTCTTATGACTATAGCTAGTCCCCACTGTTCCGTTTCTGCCCCTAACACTTTCTGTTTCCCAGTGAGAAAACGGAGGCGCAGGCAGGATGAAGGGGACACAGAGAACAGAGAAGGGGTCTAGGGCTTTACGCCCCAAAGGGCCTCGGGGTGTCCTGCCTAATTTGGAGACCAGGGCTTCAGAGGCCAAGGACCAGATTTTAAGGGGATTTGAAAAAGTATTTTGTCAAGGAAATTCCAAGAAAGGCCCTGGCAGCCAGCCACTCCTCTGTGGGAATAACTCATTCCTGGTGGGAGTGCCTTTATTCCTGGGTGAGAATATCAGCAATGAGGACGCTAACCAGCGCTGCTGTCAGGGGGAACCTCAGTCCTCCACGTCCTCAAGGTGAGAGGGACTTCCAGGGGCTTCGGGTCCCTCATTGGCTCCTGCTTGTGGGCGGGTTACCTTTGGGATTGGGGAGATGAAAGAGACGGGTGTCTATGGGGCCATGTTTCTCAGGGGGTGGGGCTAATGTTCATTTAAGCCAAATATAAAGTCCTCACTCCAGCCCCCATTGTGCCCGGCCTTCCTCCCACCACTGTCCCTGGTTCAATGCTGTGGCTGGTCTTTCTGTGAACACGCCTCCTTAAAGACCTGCCTTTAGCTTCCCCCCCCCGGCCCCCCCACATCTCAGACCCTGTTTTCTTCAGAGCACTGTCAACTGATGGTTGTTGGTACCAGTTTAACAGCAACAGGAATCCCCAAGTTGGGGTGTGGTGAAGAAGGAGACTTTTCAGAGTAAACAGCTGTTATGGTTCAGCACGGCTGTGGAACAGCATGGCTGGAAGGCAGCCCTGGAGCCAGGCCCCTCTCTGGCCGACAGCTCTGCTCTCAGATGCTCTGCTCCTTGATGCCTCACTTTGAAGAGAGACAGCTTCATTGTTTCAGCTGAGCCAGGCAGACTCAGTCTTCATGGGAAGGAAAAGTACCTTCTCAGAGCCGGAGGGTAGCTGGTTTATATGGACAGGAGTCCCTGCCCTTGATCCCTGATTGGTCTATCCCAGTGGTCAGCAAACTGCGGCTCGCGAGCCACATGCGGCTTTTTGGCCCCTTGAGTGTGGCTCTTCCACAAAATACCACGTGTGGGTGCACACGTACAGTGCGATTGAAACTTCGTGGCCCATGCGCAGAAGGTAGAAGTCGGAAGGCAGAAGGCAGAAGGCAGAAGACCACTGGTCTAGCCACATGTAAATGAGGACTCCAAATCCTCACAACTTGATTGGTCCAAAAGGCACTGTCCTGATTGGTCAGGATAGAGCCACTCTGGTTGGTTGGAGCTGCATAGCTCCAATTGGATGGAGAAAACCTTAGTCTTATTGGTTGAAATAGGATTCCAGGAATCCCTTTATAAGGGCTGGCTCAGATGGCAGAAACAGTGCAGGTTTCTCCCTGAGGTGCAGTTTGCATGAGAGCTCTGTGCATAGCTATTGCTGCTAGGGTGTGTGTGTCATGTTTGTTTTTAATTTGAGCCCAGTTAGTCACCAGGAGCCCTTCTTAGTCTTCACAGCACCCACTGGTGTTTGCAATTTGTCCTTTTGTCTGTTTCATGTCTGTCTCCCCAACAGACTAAGATCCAGGAGGGAAGCAACCTCATCTCACTGTTTCCTCAGCACCCGGCACAGTACCTGGCATAGTAGGTGCTCAGTTAATATGGGTGGGGTGTGGGCTTTCCTGCTGCCTGCTTTCTGCTCTGCTTCCTCCGTCCCCGTGCTAAGCTGGAGAAGGGGGTGGGGGAGCAGGAACAGTGGCCTTTCTCCAGCTTCCCTGAGCCTGGGAGTGGGGTTAAATGCAGGGGAGAGACGGGAGGTGTCTCTATCTAATTCTCCATCCCAGCCCCCCGCCCTCCCTCCCCCCAGCCGTTATTTCTGTCACATCAGCCTCAGCTGACAACCTGGGTCTCTTTCTTATAAGATCCCGAGGAGAGAACAGTGACTCCTGCCTCCAGTCTGTTGCACTTCAACCCGACTGCCCCTCCACCACTCACACAAATGTATTTTCTCTGCTGCTTAATGTTTAAATTGGGTTTTCTGAGATGACGCTCAGACACAGTGAATTAGAGGGAGAGGTGCCATGCTGCACATGAGATGGCATCTCCTGGGGCTGGAGCTCTGCAGTCAGACCTGGCTCCAGGACTTCTTCGTTTGCTGTGTGACCCTAGGCCAAACCTCAACCTCTCTGGGCCTGCTTCCTCAACTGTAAAACTGGGATGACTGGACCTGCCTACTAGAGCTGACACAGTGGGTATACAGCACTTAGCATGTTGCTTGGCACTAAACAGCTATTTTTAAAAAATTATTTTATTTTGTTATGAAGGCTCCTGAAGGCAAAAGTCCAGAGGCCTAGTTCAGGCTCTGCCATTCACTGTTGACCTTAGCAAATCCCTTTTCCTCTCTGGAGCTAAGTTTCCCCACCTGCAAACCCTGCGTGTATGCGTGTGTGCGTGTGTGTGTGTGTGTTTTGACTCCAGCAGCTAAAGAGAGAGTTTTGGGCTCAGCACAAAAGAGACACTTTAAAAAAACCAAGAACCAAGGAGACGCTTTTAACAAACATCAGGTGGCATGTAAGGTAGTGAGCTCCCCGTCGCCTCTAGTGCACTGTGCAGAATGCCAGAGCGGGAAGGAACCTTAAACCGCCAGGCCTCTCATTTTGAAAGAGACACAGAGTAACACAGACCTAGGAGCTTACGATCCCCTGCCTGCCCGTCTGAGGCCCCGTCCATCACACCACCTGCTGGATGTCCAGAACAATCACCGAGAGAGCCTGGGTGAGACATGCCCGGGGTCATCTATGGGCCTGCTGCCAACTAGCTGTGTACCTTGGCAAAGCGTGCCAGCTGCTGCCAGTGCCCTTGCCAGTGGCCCTCCACCAGTGACAGAGGGGAGTGGGTGGACGAACAGCCCAGCCCCCACCCCCACTTTGCAGGGAGACCTCCAGGCATACACGGTGCATGGCTTCCCAAAGCTGCTGGCAGGGTCAGGCAGCAGTTGCCGGCACTGGCGCTGTTTGATAACACCGTCTGCTGCCTCCTGCCCTCCCTGCCTCACTGCCCCGCTCCCCAAGCAGGGCTTCCTGGGATCCCCTCTAAATCAACTCATTGCACTTGAGTCCCTGTGTGGAGTCAATAAGTTAATAAAGTACTCACAATGGCAGTAGGCTTGTTTCGTAAGTAAAAAAAAAGAGATAAAGAACCTTTACTTATATAAACTCCACCCCTCCTGTTCCAGCCTCCTCAGCAAATACAAATATTAGGTTTAAACAATCTTTGGGACGCGCACACACACATTACTCGGCATGCGGTCCGGGCCAGCGTGCAGGGAAAGGTGCCTGGTGTCGGCGTCTGGAACGCCCGGCTCAGCCGGATCTCAGCGCGAAGCTCTCCCTCTGGTCTCTGTGGCTGGCAC